TATATATACATACACACGTACATATATATATCATTATTTAATAAAATGTTCCTTTAAATAGACATAAGTAGGATGGAAGTAAATCAGGATTTTTTTTTAAATGAATACTTTGGAACTGAAAACCAGAGCTTCCACAGGTGACTGGAGATTCATCACCAGTCAGTCCCTGGGCAGAGGCGATGGACCACTCCACAGAGTCTGCATTCTTCCATTACACTCACTCATCTGTGTATGTTGCTTGGCTTCAGTTTTGAACTTGGCCGTGGATATGATTTGGCACTTTATAGAATCAAAAGCATCCAGAAACAGCTAGTCTTTGTGTAGAATACCCTTTCCTGCCAGATAGGCAGAGGCTGACCACTACATCACTTGAACCTAAGAGTGACGCCTAACTTTCTGTTGTCTCCTTGCTCCACTTATACTATTACCTTGTCATTGGCGTTAGATGCTTCCACGTTAATACAGTGATTCTGTGAACAACAGAATGACCATCACCCGCTCCTTCATCTTCCTCACTGTCTTTAACATATCAGACATGGGCTTTGTTGCCAAGCTAACTCATTAAGGATCTTCTGATAGTAAATATGGATTTATGGTGGTCAAGTGAGAAAGGATTTGCACTGGCAACCCAAAGGTGGCTGGTTCAAATCCACCAGCTGCTCTTTGGGAGAAAAGCGGGTAGTCTCACAGGTAATTTACAGTCTCTGAAAACCTGCCGGAGGGTTCCCTATGAGTCGATTCTGACTCTACAGCACATAAAAACAACAATATAATAAATACCATTGCTTATTTTTTTTCAAGTTGATTCCAAAGTAACTTCTTTTACTGGCCTCATTCTGATATCTAATGATCCTAAGATCCTTGTCTTGCTGTGCCTTTTAGATTTGCTTCCAAAATACCTTCAAATGAGTCTACATCTACTAAAACACAAAACATGTTTATATTTTCAATAATTTTATTATTTTAAACAGTCTCCCTCAATCTCCTCATCACCCTCCATGGAAGACTCGGATGTAAAACAACGAGCTCATCTCAGGGTTTTATCACCTACATAGTTATGCAACCCTCAGTCAGTGTTCTTTATTCATCTGTGTCTCAGATTCTAAAGTATGAAATGATAATAAATACTACTTCAAGTGGTTTTATTTACCTGTATTTAAAAAAAAAATCTCAAGATAGGGTTCATAGGGTCGCTATGAGTCACCTACGACTCAATGGCACTTAACAACAATATCATCAACAATATCACCAGTTGGCCTAGTGGAGAGAAAGCGATGCTACCAAGCCAAAGGTGGGTGACTCTACTCCGCGGCCCTCAGGCCTGTTTTTCATTGTTTTTGTTCAGATATTCTTCTAGGTCGTATAGCCCTAGTGTGTTCACTTGCCGTACAGAGGTAACTCATGGTTGCTGTGAAGCTGAACACTGTGACACTGGTGTGTCAAATGCGATAACGGTTACCCATGGCGGACAGTGTTTGGTGGAGCTGCCTGATTAAAACAAGCATGGAAGCAGGAGTAGCATCCACTTCTATAAATAGCTTGCCTCTGGAAACCCTATGAACCTGGAGAAAGGATGAAAGTCACACAAGTGTTGAGGACTTTTGTTCGTAGGGTCGCTATGAGTTGCCTACCACTCGACGACACTTAAAAACAACAATAATAACAGTATTAGAATGTTTTTAAAAGTTTCAAACACTTCACACATACAAAAGACTATGAGAGCTTTAAAAAGTGTTGAGTATTGGGAATGGGAAAGGAGGGCAAGGGGAGTAAAAAGAAAAATTTTTAAAACTATTAAATATATCCTTACTGAATGAAAGGGTGTGTAATAAGGTCTTATAATAAAGGGATAGTCAGATAGTGTCAATATTAATGTCATAAAACAGTTGTGTCTGAATGACTAAATGAAAAACTAGCATTCTCTGTAAACCTTCACTCCAATCACAATAAGATTTTTAAACTGTTGGGAAAAGACCACATGAGCTGTACCTTTCTATCTCACCCTCTTTCTGACTCTTGCTTTGTTCTACTTTGGAAGCGTGAGGTCCACGCTCGGTATGATACAGGAGCATTGAGAAGCTGGGAACGTGCCATTTTTGGGAGGGCTGGGCTTGGGTTCCCATCCGGGAAGAGTAGGAGACTGAGCTGCCCCTTGCATGTCTTCTCCAGTTCAGGATTTGCTCTCTGAGGACCACGGGTGCAGTCTCCCGGCCACTCCGCAGTCCATTTCTGACCTGAAATCACTGGCCACAGCCCTGCTGGAGACAATCCATGAGAAGAACATGGTCGTCCAGCACCAGAGGCAAACTAACAAGTAGGTGGTGGACTTTTCAGGTGGGGGGTGGGACAAGGGTATCAGAAGTGACTCACAACCAGGTAGAAATACAAACCCTCAGCCAAAGAGTCAAAATGCCAGTTGCCATCAAGTCATCTCCAAATCCTGCACCCGTGTGTGTGTCAGAGTGGCTTGCTCTCCATGGAGGTTTCAGTCCCTGTGTGTGTGTACTCGAACTTCCATCCTTTTGATTAGCAGCTAAGTGTGTTCATACCCTTGGAACCACCCAGAGCTCAGGAAGTTGAAATACCTCCAATCTGGAGGGACATTATTAAAGCAGAACTCTGAAAGTTATGCTACCAAGCCCAAGGTGGGTGATTTTAATCTGCTGCCCTGAGGCCGGGTTCACATTGTTTTCCTGTCAAACATTCTTCTAGGTGGTATAGCACTGGTCTGTCCATTGCTGTACAGAGGGAACTCGCGGTTGCTGTGATGCTGGACACTGTGACACTGATGTGCCAATGGTAATGGTTATGTGGTAATGGTTACCCATGGTGGACAGTGTTTGGTGGAGCTCCCCGATTTAAACAAGCTTGGAAGCAGGAGCGGCATCCACTTCCTAAAGAGCTTGCCTCCGGAAAATCTATGAACAGTGCTCAGGCCTTTTGTTCATAGGGTCACTATGAGTCGTCTACTACTCAACGGCACCTAACAACAACAACAACATGCCTCTACTTTGGGAGCCCGGGTAGCACAGTGGTTAACACATACATCTGCTAACCAGAGAGTCAGTGGTTCAAATCTACCAGCCAGACACTGTCCAGGAGAAAAAAAAATGAGGTAGTGTGTTTCCAAAAAGATCTTTTATGGTTGTCATGTGCCATCAAGATAAATACTCCATAAGACCACTGTTGTCAATACAGAAGGATAACTTGTCAAATGTGTATGGGGACACAAGAGGGGAAGGGGTGGGAGCAGAGGGATGAGGATGGATGGGAGAAATCATGGGGTCACATAATTTGCTGGGTGGAGGGGGCAGTGAAGAAAATGGGAAAGATCAGGCGGGGTCTGGAAAGACAAAAGAATGGAGGGCATAAAGCAATGAGTGGGAATGGTTGTATGAAACAATGTGAATGAAGGCTAATGTAAAACACAATGTGTATGAAGTTTGAATGCAAACCAATATAAAATAAAAGTCAAAAGAAAAAAAAAACCCAACTCACAGCTGGTCCTGCAGCGGGTTTTTAGAGACATTAAATTACATGGCGGGGGGGAGGGGGGATAGCCTGCCCCTCTTTCTCAGAGCACCTGGTAGATTTGAACCACCTGCATTGGGGTCAGCTGTGCAACTCCTTAGCTCTCACCGAAGCTCCCTCGGTAAAGATGGGCGGCCTTAGAGACTCGGTGGGCAATTCTTCAGCATGGCTGTGAGTTGTGATCAGCTCAGCGGAAGCACTTTGGTTCTGGGGTTTGATGCTTCTGCATTTACAGCAGCATTTTGGACGTCAGCTGGAGACAAAACCTGGAAACGGTGCTGGGGATCCTTTGTCAAATGCGTGCTCTGACTAGGCACTGCGTCACTGGGAATGTAGGGATGGCATGACAGTGTGAGTCACCCGATCCTCTCCCCGTGAACATCTCTGCATGAAGGAGCCCCCTCAGTGTCCCTTTAACCTCATGACATGCCCGATACACTCTAGATTCCAGAAACATCCAGTCCCTACCTACCTCCACAGGAGCCTGAGCCTCTAATGAAGGCTCCCAGCCTCTGCCTGATCCCCAGAAAGGTGGTGAGAACGAACCAGAACTGACAGCACATGAGTTTTTAAGAGGATGTTGACTGTCAAGTGAGTTGAAATAGGAGTTAGGGATGACGGAAGGATAACAGAAAATGTTCAGAGAAGAGGGAATAAACAAGAAGTGAAAGCAACACACCTTAGCAACAGATCTGGCTTTGTGTGTGTGTGACACGTGCAGTCACACGGGGCCTGAGCACATATGAGCCCTACTGGGCACAGAGCAACCTGAATCCCATCCCCAAATGAGAAGAGACTAGTCCAGGCCACGCATTTCTGCTTCTCCTTTCACGTGGACAGAGTGCCTGTACACTCTCTCCCTGTCTCCGTGCACAGTCACCCAGAGCTGAGTCAGAGCTCCGCAGTTAAAAGACAATGATTTAGAAAAATACTACATAACTTGGGATAGATTGGAGAGCATTATGCTGAGTGAACTAACTCAATCGCATAAGGATAAATACTGCAGAAGACCATTATTGTGATAATAGAAGGCCACTGTTGTAAAACGAGAATGACATGGGGGGGCGTGGATACTAAGAAAGATGGGATAAATTATGTATACTGCATTGAAACAGATGAGAGAGAGAACTGTTTAAAAGGGGTATGTGATTAGGTATTATTGTCATAACAGGAGTCCAGCACAAAGACTGCATAGTGGAGTGGACTTGGGGGGAGGGATTGTATAACAGTGAAAGAATTTTTCTTTTACTTTTCAAGGAGAAGAATGAACTAGAGGAGAGGGGTGGGCAGGGAGAAAAGTACAATAATGAATGAATGGAAATCCAAAATCTCTGTAAATTTTTATTAAAATTAATACTAATTTCAAAAATAGAAAGATTACTAGTAAAACATGCAGGGGAACCAGAGAAGGGGGGGGTGGGAGCAGAGAGGTGAGGATGAGTAGGGGTGAAACCGCAGGGTTGCACAATTTGGTGGATGGAGGAAGGGGTGGAGGATATGGGAAGGATCTGATGGGATCCTGAAAATATTGGGAAATGAGGGGGATGGTCCAATGGTGATTAATTTTATAAAACAATGCATGGGAATGATTGTATGAAATACAATGTGAATGAAGAATGCTGTGAAACACAGCGTATATGAACATTGTAAGCAAACCAATATAAAATAAAAGTTAAAACAAGGCACATCAACCAACTGCAACCATGAGTTTGGGGAGACCCCACAACACCACTGCCTGCTAATCTGCTGGTCACAGATTCTGGGTGGTCTCCCTCGCCTTCAGGCTGCCAGCCGGGAGGTCAGGAATGCACACAGCACCCTTGCTGTCCTGACTTGCTGGCTCCTGCCATCTCTGTGGCACAGCCCTCTAGTGGCCTAGTCCGTAAGGAGTTTTGCTGCTAGTTAAGGGTGGCATCTCTGATGGTTCAAATCCACCAGCAGCTGCCAGGGAGAAAGATGAGCAGTCTCGTCCCAAGTAATTTGTAGCCTCCAAAAATCAGAGGGAAGGTCAGCTAAGAGTGACTTCTGACTCCACAGCTGTTACTTGAAAGTTGATGTTTCTCTGTGACTCCTTCTCACTGGCCAGTCCTACGTGACGGGCTGTCACACCTCTTGAGACCAGTTGACATTAACCTTGGTGAGTCATTCCTGGTCTGGCTAGTTCTAGGAGTCTCAGTCCAAAGTACCCCTGTTATTTTGAGGTTTGTTTCCCAAGGCCAAAAACCACCTTCCCTAGGGTCCTGCCTTTGTCCACACTTGACATTCTGTTGATACCTGAAACTCTGTTGCCCACATTTTGAAATTTCCATTTTAAACCAGTAACTCTGCATTTTAATTTTTCACCGAACCAAACCTTAAGTCAGACCAAACCTTCTGCCTTGGAGGAAGTTCCGACTCACAGGGATCCTGTAGGGTGGAGGAGAACCATCCCATGGTGTTTCTAAGGCTATCAATCTTTATGGAAGCCAACTGCCATATCTTTCTCCTCTGGCGTGCCTGGTGGGTTTCAACCACTGACCTTCTAGATAGTAGCCAAGTGATTTAACCACAGTGCCACTGGAGCCCCCATTTTTCACTTGGATGACAAATCTTATAGCCCATCCTGTTAAAATATGGATCCTTTGAACCAGGATGAAAGTGTGGATGGAACAGAGAATGCCGAAAAACTAGGTTTTAAGCGAGATGGGGAGGACCCAGGGCCCTGGAGGAGACAGGTTCAGGAGAGAGACTAGGAAATGATTGAAAATATTGTAAAAATAAAATAGGGGGAGAGAGAGAGACGAGAGTGAAAGGAGAAAATGCACAAGAGATTAAGATAGATATATAAGAGAAAGCAGAGGGCGGTGAAGTGGGGCCGGCTGGTCTCCAAGGAATGACAAGGGTAATTTATTGACAGAGGAAGTTTTAAAAGTTATTTAAAAAATGAAATCGTAGCCAAGGAATGAAACCAGATGCTGAGCTCAGTGGCTTCCCGGGGGAGGAAGAAGAAATTGGAATCTCTTTGGAACAGGTGCTCAAGGCAGGGGTGCAGCCGTGACAACATTGTGTTGTTGTTGGCGGTGCTGGTGTTATTAGCTGCTGTTAGGCCCATCCCGATGCAGGGTGACCCCACACATGTGGAGTGGAAGTGCTCCCCAGAGTGGTGACAGCTGTCACTTTCAAAAACACACCACCAGGTCTGCCTTCTGAAGGGCCCTTAGGTGCATTTTGAATAGCCAGCCTGTAGGAAGTAGCTGTGGTATACAGATGAAACAACCCTGCTTGATGAAACTGAGGAGAACCTGCAGCGTTTGCTTCAGAAGGTCAAAGTCTGTAGTCTTCAATATGGATTGAAGCTCTACATCAAGAAGACAAAGATTCTCACCACTAGGCCAATTGGTAGCATCATGGTAGACGGAGAAGAGATTGAAGTTGTTAACGATGACAGCTTTCTCAGCTCCAAAAGAAGCATTATTGCACCAGCAGTCAGGCAAATCAAAGGGTGAATTGCATTTGGGGAAAATCAGATGTCAGGGACCTCCCCGGAATACTACAGAGAAATGATGTCAGTCTAGGGACTAAGGTGTGCCTGATCCAGTCCATGGTCTTTGCAATTACATGCTATGTATCAGAGAGCTGGACAATGATTAAGAATGACAGAAGAATTGAAGCCTTTGAGTTGTGGTGTTGGGGAAGAGTATTGAACATGGACCACCAGGAGAACAAATAGGTCTGTCTTGGAGAGGGTGAAACCAAGTTTCTTCTTGGAGGCAAAGATTTTGAAGCTCAGTCTCACAAACTTTG